GAGCGCGAACCAAGTCAAGAATCATATAGGGCACCATTTGTTGTCCTGCATCAGCGATCACAGTGCTTACAGTCTGGACGAGACGAATGCTTTTAATGGGCTACAATTCAATTCCATAGACATAATATTTACACACAGACATAAATATATATCCTAACACACCCACATATATAAGCATATTTGACAACTGATATTTATTGGTGGTTTTATAGACATCAGTTTGTTTACAAATAGAGAGATTGTATTTTTAGGATTCGGAATACATCTAGTGAATAAATAACATCAATTGCCTCATTTACTAGCCAAATACGGTGGGACTTCCAGTGCAGGCATGGCCGTGTTCACATGCTAGTAGTAATTGAAAGTTAGGTAAGAAAACTGGTGAAAGAATTTTACTTGTATTTGTATCGACTCTTCTGGAGTAAGTAGCATTGGTTTCCCATCAACTGGAGACTGCAAAAGCAAACATAAACATATTGTGTGAGAGAGGCACTAAGCAGAGTTAGAATCATGGACTATAAACATAACAGAAAAAGCTTAAAGCGCACCTGAAACGTTACACCCTCCTCGGTGATGTCGGCCAGATGCAATAACGAGACCTACCAACACAATTAAGTTATTTTCAAGGCATGTATCTCTGTTGAGCAATCACAAATAGCAAAACGAAGAAATAAAACTTAAATGATAAAACTTAATTGCATACAATAGAGAAAAGGTTTCCGAAAATCATTGGAATATATGACGAAAGGGAAACACAAAAAACGGAAAAGGCTACCATTTGAAAGCCACCAGAGTCGGTCAGCAATGCCCTAGGCCAATTCATGAATTTGTGGAGGCCCCCCATATCATGAATGAGCTCAGAGGTGGGCCGTAGAGCCAAGTGATACGTGTTTCCGAGAATTATATGGCATCCAATTTCCTCGAGCTGGCTAGTCGTTAAACCTTTTATCGTGCCTGTAATCAAGAAATACTAAAATCATTACAAATGAGACGATCAAGATGCTGCATCCGCATTCAGCAGGATTATTAATATAAAATAGATCGAGTGACAACATCAAGTACCATAACATCAAATCATACTCCAAACCAGGGAGATAAGAACAAAGTGTAAATAATCATAACTTTCCTTTACATCATGCGATCGAAGCATAATCCACTAGTAACCAACCATTGGTGTATCTAACCATAAGCAACACTAAAGACGGATAACCATACCTTGTGTACCGACAGGCATAAATAAAGGCGTCTCGCACACAAAATGCGGAAGTGTGAGTTTAGCTGCTCGAGCACGGTTGAACCTTCCCAGAATCTAGTATAGGGAAAATAACACAGTTAAACCTCTATAAATTAATATTGTCGGGACTAGTAAAATTTTATTAATTTAGCGAAATATTAAATTATCGAACTAATAATTTAATACATTTTTTATCGAGTCGGGACAAGAAAAATTTATTATTTAAGTGAGGTTATTGATTTATTGAGTATTAATTAATCGAAATTCTACTGACGTAAACAGAAAGTGATTATAAGCTACCATTGGACAAGACACAGTACCTCAAAACGAAGAGCCATCTCTATTAATGTTGTGAGTTCCAGGAGCTGAATAGAGAAGGGAGGATGAAATTAATATATGTGATATTACAAAAAACAAGTTTTAGATATGAAGAATAACAACAATGCCATTGAGCATAGATATTCAGATTCGGAACATTTAGCAAAGGGGAATATCACATAATCAATTTATCTAGTATATACACCACAGAAGTACAGAGCAATTACCTCGGCGGCAATGTGATGGTCGCGCGCCGGAGAAGGTGGTGGCAGTGACCTTGCGTACGGCGGTGGCCGTGCGCGCGTTTGTCCGGCGGTGGCCGCGCGCGCGTGTTTGATAAGGCAGCT